CCCCCCCCCCCCCCCCCAACAACAGTGTGAAAATGTAAAAAAAGAAGAAAATCAAACTCACAGGTTAGTTGTAGTTTTCAGTGTTTTTTCCTCCGCTGTGTCTTTTTTGTTTCTTATATTGGGAAAACTGATAGAGATGGTGGAAATGAATCTGGCAGATTTCCTCTGCTCCTCAGATGTCCTACTGAGGTCTTCCTTAGATCTGAGAAGTATTATTTGCCTGATCTGCAAATCTGATCAGTTGAGAAGTGTTACACATATGCATATACGCATGCTTTATATGACATTACATGCATGTCATAAAAATAAACTTTTAGTCAGAATTTAATGCATTTATGATAAGCTGTTATGTCCCAAAGTTTGTGTCTGAAAACAAATGTATCAGATAATCCAGTCATACAAACTCACCTCTGCTGCTTTTCTGCTGGCCTGTTAACTGCAATGATGGTGGTGAAGAAGCAGTAGTTCTAGTTTCTAAATCTTTCTTGTTGAGGATGTGCTGAGCCAGTGGTCCAGGATGTTTCTTCTCGTGTTCACTTACATTCTGAAAACTAATCAAGCTTCGGCATTACAATACTGCTACAATACAGTACAGAGAGCTGGAGAGTGTTTTTCTCAACAGACACCACATGTCTGCAGCTACTTAGTAAAAACTAAGGTTCACTCCCTTCAGAAAAATTCTTCACAGGAACACCCATAGATGTTTTCTTAGTATATCGACACATGACAGTGATCTTTCAGTGAGTGAAATTTCACTTGTTTTGTCTCACCTCTACATGTGCAAAGAAAATGATTACAGTAGTTGCCAAGTAGACAGAAAATACTTTCTTGTATTTCTCCTAATAATGCTGAACATATTAATTTTGGCTAAATTACCATTTGTTAAAATCATTATTATAAAAAAAAAAGAGACAATGTGGGTGTAACAAATTGCATAAGAGCTAAAGTATTACCATAAACATGGTGAGGCATGTTGGGATGACATTCAGCAAAAGATTAATACCAGTGACACCTCATTAGATATTGTGGAGGTGTGTTTAAAATCATCTGAAACAATTAAACTGAGATGTAGTCAAGGAAATATGTTCGTAAAGGTTTTTTTATAATCTTAAATCCTTGATTATTTAGCTAGGCATTTCTGTGTGTGTGCAAGGCAACAACAGGTATTATATAACTGGGGTGGTGCCAGACAAGAGATCAATGCTTGAATCAATGTTCAATCCACTGGCATCTTGTTATAATTCTTTGACTGTAAAAGAATTTGTAACTGTTGTAAAACTACATCGGATACATCTTACTTTAAGCAAACCAATATTTACACAAGCTCTTCTAATTAGGTAAGAACTTCAACCTGTTCGCTTAAAGCTACAGACTTCCATAATGTTGTCTGCGGATGATGATAAGGGTCAGTTTGAGACAGAGAAAAGTAGGAAAAGCAGTTTTTGTGTGAGAGAAGATGAGTAAGAAAACGTAGTAAAAACTCCAAGAACTTAGAAACTTTGTAGCCTACCGTGATTTATCAGTTTGTGTGTACAATCCCTCCTGATCTGAGCCAACGCAAGTCACGCTGGCGTTCACTCCGCTTTGACAACTTGACTGCTGCAGATCATGTGTTGACATTATAGTCTGAATGTATCTGGCTCATCTAGTTTGGTTACCTCCCTTTATTCCCTCCGGGCATCAGCTGTACCCTATGCTGTACCCTTAAGCGGCACGACTGTACATTCCACCGGAGAAAATCGCGCGCGGTGAGGCAGACCCGTCATACCGACAACCGTAAGACCCGACGCCACTCGTCATATGTTTCTTTCCCACCGAGGCGTGTTATCGAGGCTAGAGCCGCGGAAGTGCGGAGTGAGCTTGTGTTTTAGCAACAAACTCCGTACTTTGAAATGTCAAGTTTATGGGACCTATACAGTGATAAGACACCTTGACATTTGGACAATTGGAAATTGATGATTTTTCTGTATCGTGTGTCACCTTGTTATATTTCGGATTTTGCAATTCCACTCAAGAGACCAAAGGAGTTTCGTTTCGAAACTGATTTTAATTGAAAAAACAAACAAATGCATAGACCTATTTAAAAAGCTTGTTGTCTATGATGGCAGATAACCAAAGTATAAACAAGCGATAACTGAACAATAGTACGTGTTTTTCCATGAATATCCGACAGGTGGGGTCACTGGGGTGATATAGTGCATGCCATTTCCGCGAATCGATTCTTTAGAACAATTCGTTTTAAAGAACCGGTTGAAATGATTCAGTGATTCATTTACGTCACAACAGAACAGCTTCAGCACGTCACTGCTGGCATTTCGGCGTGGCATTGCTCTCAAACATTCTAATAAAGCCATGTATGCACACATATAGCTATTTATTACATTTTGACTAATAATGGTTGATTGGTTTCTTCTTCATCCAGTTTGTTGCATTTATGATTAATCCAAGTCAGTTAGAACCTAAATGGCAATTTGCATTTAAAGGGATAGTTCACCCAAAAATGAAAATTTTGTGTTAATTACTCACCCTCATGTTGTTCCAAACCCGTAAGACCTCCCTCCGTTCATCTTCAGAACACAAATTAAGATATTTTTGATGGAATCTGGGAGCTCTCTGACCCTCCCATACAGCAAGGGTCCTTACACGATCAAGGCCAGAACGGAGGTCTTACGGGTTTGGAACAACATGAGGGTGAGTAAATAATGACAGAATTTTCATTTTTGGGTGACCTATCCATTTAAACATTAGCCTACTTATATGCATTTACACCACTGGACTTTAAACCACCAAACTTGTAACTTTTCGCCCCATCAGCGATCAGGTTCAGTCCAAATAGCCTAAAGGCCTGGTTTCACAGACAGGGCTTAGACTGAACCAGGATTTGGCCATAGTTAAATTAGGACATTTAAGTAATTTTTATAAATGTGCCTTAGAAAAAAACACTACTGGTGTTCACCTTGAGACAAAACAAAGACATTGATATATTTTAAGATCAATCAGTGCAAGTTTCATTCAGTGACACCAAGACTCCTGACATGTGAAGAGACTGAGGAGAAATGATTGCCAAGCTCCTGTATAACAACACTTCTCAACTTTGGGGGGCCAAAGACTTTTTAATGTCCACAAGGCAGGCCAATAAGGGTTTAATGGAATCGCCAGCTTTCAATGGTAGATACAGCTGAGTATCATCAGCATATAAGTGAAATGAAACGTTATGCCTCCTAATAATATCTCCCAAAGGTCACATATATAAAGTAAAAAGAAGTGGACCTAAGATGGATCCTTGAGGTACTCCACAGATAATAGGAGCAATAGATGAAGAGAACATACCTAACTCAACAGAAAAAGACCCGTCTCTAAGATATGAACTGAACCATTTTAAAGCAGTACCCCTGATACCAATCAAATGCTCTAACCTACCGTACTGAGCCGTACCGAGCCGAGTCGTACCACGCAGTGGAAAAGCGCCATTAGCTACATTCAAAAATTAGATCAATCGTGAGTATACAACTTTTTCTAAAAGTTTTGATAAAAATGAAAGCTTAGAGACAGGCCAATAATTATTAAGGCAAACTTCATCCATACCGTTTCTTAAGCAAATCTGGGATCCAATCAAACCTCTTATTAAACATTTTGAGGATAAAATAATAACAAAAATGCTCCTGAACTATACTCTTAGCATTGATAAAACTGAAAATTGCAGTAAAACAACAAAATAATTGTACATTTCCCTTAATTACTCTGTCAAAGTGCAACTGAGGTTTACTGAGAAGCAAACTATTGAATAAGTGGTGAATAAAATGGAAGGGCAAATCAATCCTAATTAAGATTTTTTCTTGTCAGTAATCAAGAGGGATTGCTGGTCAGGCATTCTGCTTATTCTGCAAGGATTAATAGGCCCAGAGCAGGATTCCTAATTATTTTATGTAGAAATACTAGAGGTCATAAATTAGACGCATTAGCCCCACTGGCTTAAGGCAAGAAGCCTGATTGTAGCTTTGCATTGCTTAAGGGTGTGTTATGCAGATGCACATACATAATATTGACTTGTATAAAATAATTGTGATGAACCACTCTATTGTGTAGGCAGGGTGGAATGTGTTCTATAAAGATGATGTTTGTTTCCAGACAAAGGCAAAATATTCAGCCACCGCAATTATAAATCTTGTCATGGAGTGATGCTTATCTCGATCCATTATAGCAATGCAATTTAAATCTGTAATAAAATCTAAACAGTTTTAATTAACTCTGCTGATTAAAACAGAAACCAATATAGTGCATAACTTGTATGATAAATTCATCTTTAGCCTAATGTCTCTCAGGTTTTTGGCACAAGCTCAGTTTGATCATGGTGCTGGTTGTAGTAGTCCGTCAGTTGGAGGGAGTTACATATTTCATGGATGGCTTGTCATCTGCTGTATAAATCAACTGACAGTGCTGGAAAATGCATTATCTCCTGGAGAGATTATGACAAGGCCAATTCATAACTGTGAATTGATTTTCTTAAATGCTGGCTGCAATATGGCAGTGTATTCAGAGCATGTATTGTGGTGGTTAGCACAATCGAGGGTTTAGGTTCCTAAAATAGTAATCAAAACATAATCAGCAAATCAGAAAGACCTCAGTATATTGAATAGAACACATTTTGCTCCAGGTAATGAGTCAGCGCTTAACAAAATAGGTTCACACAATATCACTAAAGGTGTATATTAAATATATATTTGAATCTGATATTATTATTAGAGGCGGTGGATGAAGAGGTATATTACTAACCAGATAGTTATAATGGTTGTGGCATAGCTTGTAAAATCACAACATAAATAACCTTCATCATGGCACCAGTAAAAAAATATTCTTAAACGGTATTAAAGGATGTTCACCCAAAAGTTGAAGAGTTTGTTTGTTCATTGGAGAAAGTTAGCATTACATCACTTTCTCACTAATGAATCCTATGCAGCTGAATGGGTGCCGTCAGAATGAGAGTTCAAACAGCTGACAAAAACATCACAATAATCCACAATTAATCCACACGACTCCAGTCCATCAATTAATGTCCTGAGAAGTGAAAAGCTTTGTAAGAAACAAGTCTTTCCATAATATTGCTTTCTCCATTGAAAAAGTAATCTCGTCTGAATCAGGAGAGAAACATTTAGGCATTGTTTACAGATTAGGCATTGTTTACAAGCAAAAACAGCTGCTACTTTTTCACTTTACTTTTTTTAATTTTTACTACTTTTTCACTGGTGGAAGCGTTATTATGGATTATAGACTGGAATTGTGGCCAGAAGCAATAGTGTAAAATTAAAATGGATTTGTTTCTTACAAACATGCAGATTTTCACTTCACAACACTTTAATTGATGGAATGAAGTTGTGTGGATTATTGTGATTTTTTTATCAGCTGTTTGGACTCTCATTTTGACGGCACCCATTCACTGCATGTGATCTATTGGTGAGAAAATGATCTAATGCTGAATTTCTCCAGATCTTTTTCCGATAAAGAAACAAACTCATCTACATCTTGGATGGCCTGAGGGTGAATAAATGTTCGCCTTTTTTTGGGGTGAACTGTTCATTTAATGCAAAATTTATTTGGGGTGAGTTGGAATATAAACTGGACAGATCTATTGTACATTCAAAGGAAAGCCTTTGGCTTGAGTTGCAGAAGGCATTGGATAACATTTGTGTTGAAGTTCTCAGGAAATATATTGACACTATGCCAGAGAGAGGTGCTGCAAAAGGTGGACATACCAAATATTAAAGTTAAAAGTGGATAAAAACAGTATGACTTACTTCATCTGATATTTGTTGTGCAGAGCAACCATCTGCATGTTTCATGAACATTATGAAATTAAATGTTTTGGAGGTAAAAAGGTCAATATTTTCAGATCTGTCAGGTGTTCTAACAATTTTGGCCACCACTGTATGGTTCAGAATAAGATTTATTTTGCCAGATATTGCCATGACTAATTAAAATATGGTCCATAAAGGGCATAAATTAGATGCTACAGTAAATAAAGTTGCCTTATGTACAGCTAAACTGCATCTAGCTGTAGTTAATGCAGTTCCCCTGTGGCCTCAAATCTACAGCTGACCAAAGCCTGTCTTTAAGATGCCTTGAGCTCATTAAGCACCAAGAACATCTTTATTAATTGACAAGACAATCGTTTAATTAAAAACCCAGAGCCCTGTCATTGTGTCAGGCTGAGAGAACATTTGAGCAGGATGCTTGTGACTGGTGACTCAGAGGTTAACCGTGGCAGCAGCCTGGCAGCTGTATTGACTTCTAGGTAATTATACTTAAGTGGTGACTAGAGGAGGCAAATGGCAGTAACAGATTATCTGTTTTGAGGGGATGCATTCTTAGAATCAATAAGAGTCCATTTGTGGAAATAGGGCAATTTAGGGGAAAATACACCCCTGTTCTTGGTCCTAACAGAAGTCATTTGCCCCTGCTACCATACTGTAGGTCTTTATTTTTTTCCAAATCTCTCAGTTAAATTAGGAAATAAAACAGAGGGAGAAACAGAGAAAACAGTAGACATCAACAGCCTCTCTAAACAGCAGTTTTACCTTTGTAACTAAATATAAGGTTTGTTTTCCTGTGTCTAAAAATAACATATTAAAAATTAGGACGATAAATTATGTTAACAGGACATACACTACCATTCAAAATGTTTGGGTCAGTAATTTTTTTAATCATTTAAATCATTAACATTTTTTAAAATAATTAAATCATACAATTGACCAAAATTGACAACAAAGAC